TCTCTCTCTCTTCTCCAGTTCATTAGAGATCCTCAGAACTTTCTTACCGTGAAAATACATACAAAAGGGGGCCCCTGGTTCGACTCCTCACGGCTCGTATCTCGGTTCAGAACGGTTCTTGGTTTTTTTTTCTAAACGTATTCTTCTTTTCTACAAAATATTGAGTCGATTCCCATATTGAAATCATCAAATGTCAAATTGCGGACTCCCCCTTTAATCACTTTCTCCAGAATACACGCTCTCCTAGGATGAAAATAAGGCTGGAAACCAACGTGACAATCGTGGAATGTTAAAAAATAATATGTATTTCAACGTGATCAAAATTTTGAAAACTAGAATCTGGGTAATCCTAAATTCTTGGAAGCGGGAACCAAAACTTGGAAAATTTGTTCAATAGAAGTTGTAGACATTTAGGTGAGGACCAGAATTGTCTACAACTTCTATTGAACAAATTCTCCGAATTTTGGTTCCAGCTTCCAAGAATTTAGGATTACCCAGATTCCAGTTCAAAATTTCGATCACGTTGTGATTAATAATATTTTTTAATATTCCACGATTGCCACGTTGGCTCGCCTTCATTTCCATCCTAGCTAGGGGCCTAGGAGAGCGTGGAACGTAAGAAAGAAACATTATTTACAGGAAATCAGTGTTGTTGGTACTGCAACCAGCCTGGACACAACGCAGCGGGATGTCCTGAACAAAAAAGTAAAATATGCAACGTGTTTTCTCATACTTTGTTTGAATGTTTTATGACTGCTTTCCATAAATATGAATTTGAAGTGATCTGAGTTTTTTTCCGATAGACACATATTCTGACTTCAAAAAAAAATTTAAAGTAGGACTAAAGTCGCATTTTCGACATCTTTTATATTCTCACTTGAGTTACCCTCTTGCCGCTTACAGAGAAAATTGCGCAGGAAAAGTATATAGAAACTCGGAAAATCCTCTTCCCTATTCAGTGACTGGACCGAAAATCCCAAAACTCAAATCACAAAACAAAAAAAAACGTATATGATACCTGAGACTCAAAAATCGGACTGGGACTCTAATA